TGTCTTAATGTGTGGTCTGTTCTCAGTGGGCGTGTCTTAATGTGTGGTCTGTTCTCAGTGGGCGTGTCTTATTGTGTCTCAGGGACTTTGTGGAGCAGAAGTATGTGACCCTGAAGAAGTCCAATCCAGACTTCCCCATCTTGATCCGGGAGTGTTCTGGAGTCCAGGCCCGGCTCTGGGCCCGATACGGTGAGTCAGAACAGTTAAGGAGTTCTCACGCTGCTCCGTTTGCTGAGGTCAGAATATCATTCATTAATGACTTTGTTTGTTTGTTTGTTTGTTTGTTTACTCAGATCTGGGTAAAGAGAAGAGCGTCTCCGTGGACAACATGTCAGCTGATCAGATCACCAGCACTCTGCAGAATCTGGCCCAGTCCAAACCTTAAGCCCCGCCCTCTCTGAGTTCTGGTTTTGGTTGGGTTCATGTCCGGCTCACGTTGTTTCCTGTTAATGTGTATGAATAAAGATTGTGACTGATGACTGGGTCGGACTGGTTCTGGTTCTGATGTTTGTACAGTTTGACCTCAGATCAAATGGAGCAGAGTTTGGACCGGACCTGCAGCTCAGTTCAGGGTCAGAACACTGATCCAGTTCCAGAAGAATTCAGGTTCACAGGATGTTTACAGACAAACGGTSTCATCCAGGTGTTCCTCAGCAGGAGGAGGCCAGAATCAAACCAGCAACCTTCTGACCGACAGGCAGCAGAACAAGAAGCACATGTTCACCAGAACCATCTGTCAGAAGAAAACAAAAAATAGAGAAAGATATATATTTTAACTTTCTTAATGTTCTTGTTTTATCTTTAAACCAGGAAGTAAAATAAAAGTTCCTGCTGATTAAAAACATTAAAAACAACAGTTTGTTGTTTAGTTTACCTGTGTCCTGATCTGAACCACAGCTGCTGATTCATCACATGAAGCTGGTTCTGTTCAGCTCACTGGTTCAGGTCTGGATCTGAACCTCCTGCTGGTCCTGGAGAACCTTTGGWGGAGCTGCAGTGACTCCTGTGACCTGCAGGAGGCGCTGCTGGGAGTCATTCCTCTCTGAAGGATAAGGTGATAAAAGGATTGTCCGACATGTTAAAGGTGCTGTAGCCCTGAGAGTGGGTTAATAAATAAGATGAAAGTAAAGAAACTAATCAGGACGTGTTTGTTTCATGCTCTCCTGAATAAAATAGATTTAATTCTCGGTGCAGTGCGCTGACCTTCCTGTAGGTGTCGCTGTCTGAACGCTTGCTCCCGGATGTGACGTCACACACACTTCCGCGCTGTTACGTAAACAGACAGCAGCTAACAGCAGCAGCTACACATAATCAGAAGATCTAGTTGTAAAAAAACAAACCAATCAGAACCCCTGCTCTTTGGGTTCTTCCTCTGCCGGTACCGAGCTCCCCTCAGCCCGCAGGACACCCGCAGCTGCCCGCTGAGATGCCTGAAAGTAAGTTTGTTAGCATGCTAACAGTCCGGTAGCATGCTAACATTAGCAGTCCTGAAACATGCAGCAGCGGTAAACAAACATCAGATGACAGAGTGTCACAGATGTTATTAAAACCTGTAAATGTATTAAATCTTTCTTTGATGAGACCTGCAGGAGGTTAGCCTAGCCTAGCTCTCATTTAGATAGTTTCTGTTTGTAGCTGATTAAAGCTCCGTTCAGCTACAACTCAGTCTGACACAAAGCTTGATTTCTTATTTATCTTATTGTTGTGTAACTGCTTAATGTTTTACTAATGTGAAATATATATATANCAGGTCCTGACATGTGGCCCCTGAATCCTCCAACAGGTCCTGACATGTGACCCCTGAATCCTTCAACAGGTCCTGACATGTGGCCCCTGATTCCTCCAACAGGTCCTGACATGTGACCCCTGAATCCTTCAACAGGTCCTGACATGTGGCCCCTGATTC